TGACTTATCGGCTGTATATGGCACAGCCCGTAAAGATGATTCAATCTATGTTTTTCAAAATAATCTCCTGCATAACATGTTGATGAAAATCAATAATAGTAATTCCTCCATTACTATAGGCCGATTTGTAATAGTATATTACATAACGAGAGTTGTAAGAAGCTTATTACATGCGAGTAAAAAAGTTGCGCGCGAGCCGCATAGCGGCGAGCGCAGTAATTTTACAAGCATGTAATAAGCTTACAACTCAAGTTGTGTACTATACTTTTTCTACCATTATTTTCGTTTATAAAAATTAAAATTAAATTACCACTATATTGACAATGACAGATTAATAATTTTTAATGTGTCAAAATAACGTCTGTTAATTCGTTTCCATGGTAACTCGATCAACTGACTTACGAGGCTCATGTGATATTACACATTTTTATAAAACTGAAGCGTAATTTTTTTTATTACGTGCTAGTCATTACGTGTCAGTATCTGTTATGATGCATTTACTTAGCATCCAAATAGTAGGTAATATACAATTTACTAGTAAGAGAGTAGAAAAAGAGTTTTAAATAAAAATTTACTTATTTATTAATTTTATAAAATCTTTCTTGACAAATTATTATAAATAGTGAAACAGTGTATTTCTTGATTATTTACTGTTATTAAATATGTATAATACTCCCATTTACTAACATTGTTATTAATTTGTGCCGTATTTGCTTTTTTACATAACTAAACTATTTTGGTGTTACGCCTATGGTTTGCAGGGGCATGCAACATCGCAAGCTGTTGGACGGTGTGTCGGCAGGTAAGCTGGCGCCGTTAGCTATCAGTCCGGATGATCAAACTTCGAATGATGTCGTTGTAGTGACGGACGTTTCGTCCGATACCCAAAATCCACCTTCAGTGAGACGTCCCAGTATCACGACGTTAGTGTTTTGTCTTATGTGTTGGTCTTTGTGTCAGCTCTTTTAGTGCTTCCTGCTTTTTGTTGCTTTGAAAATGCTTAGCTTGGCGCGCTTTATAGACATAAACCTTTTGAAAATATTTTTTGTTATTTGTGTTAATTTTGTTTTATATTTTATGTACAATATGTATTTATGCAATATTTCATTTAAAATGTACCCATATTTGTAATTATCCTATTAAGATGTCCTATTCACGTGGTATATGTGTACAATATGTAATTAAGAAAATTATGGGATATTAAAAAAATACATAGCCATTAAATTTTATTCTAAAATGATTATGTATACAATTTTTTTTTATTATTGTCACACTAGTATTTTTATTCATTTTATTGTTAAGATGATGACTACTCTTTGACATCACCGACTTTTTTGTCACTGTGCCACTGAACATAGTGAAGCGGAATGTGAATAGAATAAAAATTATGACCTTTTGATATTCTTCTATGTTTCACTAGATATTTTTGCCAGTGCTAGAGGTAGCAGCTCTTTGTCACTCACTTGCCTTGTTGTATGTTTTCATTAAGCTCTAATATCATTTTGGTATTTGTTTGATAAAGAAAATTGATATAAACAGCTTAAAACAACTTAACGTTAAACTAAAAGTCACAGAAAAATTAAATGAGGCGATAGCGGATATCACGACAAGATCTAAACAACCGGCCAGTGGAGAAAACAAATGGAAATGTATTAAAAAAGCTAACGTAACCACCACCAAGTCTCTGATCGCTTCCCAAAAGTACAAAGAGAAGAATTGGATGACTGACGAAATATTATCAATGATGGACGACCGTAGATCATTTAAAAATAAAGACCGAACCAAACATCAGCAGATTAACCGACAAATACGAAGAGTGTCGCAAAGCTAAAGAACAGTGACTGCTAGACAAGTGTACAGAAATGGAGGAATTGGAAGAAAAACATGACCACATTAACATACATAAACTCGTTAAAGAAGTGACAGGTCATACAAAACCTTGCAGTTTTAACAGTATTATAAAGGACAATAAATTAATCTCATTACATGACCGAAATATTGTGACATATATATAGAAGTTCTAACAATGTTGAGTCGCCTCTAAGCGCCGCCTCTCTAGCTCTAGCCGCCTAAGACAATATAGACGCCTTGGTAGATCTTTTTAATGACATTTATGGGTCAGATCAAATACCACAGGATTGGCTTCAATCAACCTTTATACCAATCCCAAAAAAGCCAAACTCTAATATTTGCGACCAATTCCAAATAATCAGCTTATTGAGCCAGGTCCTAAAACTATTTTTAAACATAATTCACACAAGAATATACAATAGGTGTAAAAGAGACATTAGCCCCACACAGTTCGGTTTCAGACAAGGATTTTTCACAAGAGAAGCACTTTATAGCTTAACTGTCTTACTTCAGAAATGCAGAAATCAGCAAAAATATGTCTTCCTTATAGATTACCAGAAAGCGTTCAATTGTGTTAATCATTCAGAATTAGTAAGATTGCTAATAAGTCTGTTAAAAACTACCTGGAAACCTTTAAAAAAAAACAAAAATGAAGCCCATTTTTATACTTTTAACACATTTCTTTAGATTTTCTCTTCCTTCTTAACATAAAGAGTGAGTTTTGAAGTTCTTCAACGTCCCAATTATCTCAGAAATGGCTCCCACAATTTTTGGTGTGTAAAGTTGTTGTGATGCTGCAGATATTATGGTTGTATTTACTTTTTGTCAGATATTCCTTTTTTTTGTTTGTAAATATAATAAATCTTCTTATTTAAATAGATCATCCTGCATATTATTTCCTTTTTGAAGATCTTAAGAAATACTGATTATTTTTCTGATTAGCATTTAGGTATAGGGAACATTACATGAAAAATAATCAGTATTTCTTAAGGACTTCAGAAGGTACAAAATATTCAAAGTGTTCCATTTGAAATAAATAAGTTCATTAGATTCCAGGAAAACGGAAAATCTGACAACAATGTAAATACCACCATAATATCGGCTTGTATAACAACACCCTTACGCTACTTGCACACACATCGATTTTGGACGGCCAGTATAAAATCGGCCGATATTTTATTAGTAGCAGGTGCTGTCAGACTCACCGGATTTTTACCGTTCAAACAATCAGTTGCTTGTTTGTCGTGGAACGAGTTTATTGAATAATAATGAATTCTAAATGAGTTGTTTCTATGTGTTTATTGTATCGCCCTATTAAGCACCGTAGGATTAAGCGCAAGAAGGGCTTATATATTATCAATCAAAGCAAAGAACACACGGAAACATTCCACACTCTTTTTAAGAACTAAGTCGTGAAGTTTTTCAACTTCTTCAGAATGTCTATTGCATCATTTGATGAACTCTATGAAATTCGATCGAACTTTTATCGATGATGCTTTGCACACTACGTGACATTTATTCGATGACGTTTGTTAATCCACGAAGGTTTGTTAGGTGGAGTACACAAAATCACAATGAACAATACAGAACTACCTAGCAACACAGCGTGACGTACGTTGAGCAGGGTCCAAAAAACGCAACTGGTCCTCTGGTCAGTCCACAAAGATCGATGTCTGTGCGTATGATTTTTCTATTCTTGCTTTAATGTCAAAGTTTAGTGTTCTCAGAAAGTATCAATGGAAGGTATTGAATCAGAAGCAGCAGAAATCAAAGTGAATGGATTTTTAATTAACAATATTAGGTATGCCGAAAATATCGTAATAATAGCCATTCATTTAAAAAATTCTGAACGAATAATGAATAAAATATTAAGGTGTAGTGGAGAATATGGACTCTTCAGAGACTATCACAACAACTTTATAAAAATTAAAAAAGTCCTTGTATTGTAATAGATATCTGTCATTAATCCTAAAAATACGTTGGATCGTGGATAAGAATATATTGAGATAAGGACATATAGAGGTGTTAAAAAGACTGAAAAAGGTTGTAAGACAGAAGAGACAGAAAAAACAGAAAACATGGTATAAAGTGGTCCTCATATTTACCAACCTCCGTAAAGGAGAATAAAACTTGAGGAATAAGTATCCTAGTTTATTTTCGGGGTTTCCTCGACATACACTCTGCAACAGAAAAAATTAAATACTGTGTGAGCTATGAGAGTAAATTAATTCTGAATGAGGTGAGTGACGGAATGTTTCTTGTGCATGGAATTTAGTTAGATATGTAAAGTATTCGCGTATTATAAAAATTGAAATATGATAGATATTAAATCAATGTTATGTGTTCTTTTTTCCTAAATAAGCAATAGAGCATGACTCTAGATTTAGAAAAGCCAAAACACTACAGCACAGAGCACAGATTGCATGACCCTACTTCACCAGTACTTAATATTTTACACTTAATCAGATGTGCTCCCTTACTCTGTATAGAAACTGTAGAATAAAAATAGTTTTCCTGACGTGTATTAAGTTTTCTTACAAGATAATAATAATGGCATACAGGCACCCACACGGAAAACCAGTGAATGTGTCCGGCTGTTTCCCAAAGTGGTAGCTGCAAAGAGTGTCATCTGATTTAATGGATTTAAACAAAAACGATTTACTACTATCATTTTCTGTTTTTTGAGCTATACGAAATTTGTAAAAGATTTATAGATTTCAGCAAGAGCTTTGCTACGGTTTTCATGAATTGAAACGCCCAATATATACATAAAAGGAGCACAATTCGTCAAACCTTCCGTGTATGAATTGGTATCAATGGACTGTTATAACAATATTTCTATATCCCTAGGTCTTCAGACAGTCGGATAGGTATAAACACCCTCTTACGGAAAGCCTGGAAATCTTCGCAAAGAAGTGGGAAATAGCAGGACACATTTGATCATTCGTAGCAAAGCTCTTGCTGAAATCTGTAAGTTCTTCCTCTATTACACCAGCGAAAAGGTCCAGTGGTTCTTAAACAAAATCAATTTAGAATGTATTGGGTCTTAAAATACCAAAAATAAAACACTAGTACACATTTACAACCGTTACAAAAGTTATACAAATAGATTAATGCATTGTGTGATATATTTTCATTGATTTTTTTAGGAACCCCAGCGCTGGAAGTCTGGTTATTTCGGAGACAGGATCGCTAGACAGAGCAAAGGCAGCATACGAGAGGCGGAAAAAGAATCAGAATCAAGATTCGGACGCGGTGGGAATACCCGGCAGGGTAGAAATCACTAGAGTTAATCCCGACGATCTCATCGAGGAATTATTGAAAAATACTAATCTGGAGCAACCTGATGATTCCGCAGAAAGTAAGTTTTAAAAATAACGAGCTTTATTAATAATGATTAATATATGAATGAATATTTTGAAATCTACTTTCAAATACCACAAGTCACTCTTAGGTAGCAATAAGAAACTCCAAAAGAATCCTACAACTATATACTTTACTTTTACCTATGCATGTATTATCTTGCTTATTTATACACTTAGCCTTTCTTCTACGAGTTTTTCTTGTCAGCGATATGATTCCGGTCTACTCCTGGCGATCATCATTGTATTTCATGCATCCGTTGTACACCAGTCGTACTCCTGTGAAAGATGCACGCCTTTTACTTCTAGCAGGAACAGGAATACGTCCTTTGTGATAAAAAATAATGTGTTTATTTATTTACACACACTCCACACGCTGTTTATTAGACCCTCAAATCTAATGAATACGCAGAAAATGTTTGTATAGCATTGACCTACATAATAGGCCTACTGCAACTAATATGAGCATATAGTAAAAGTTGTTAATAAACGTATGTAATCGAAACAATTGTGTTGTTTATCCACAAGGAAAATTTTGAGATCTCTCGTCCTACCAGCTGCACAATAGCTAAATCACTATAGCACAAATACTACAAGTAGATATGCTATGTACGTTCTGGCGCAATCCTATATTAGGCGTAGGATGACGTGCGAGGTATCATTGAAAAGGGGATGAAAAATGGAGTTGAAGCTTCGCCTACTGACGCCCGCAGCGTTGTCAGCATCAATTCAGCGTCTACTCAAGGACAAGTTAGCGTTGTCAGCATTAAGTCATCGTCTAGTCAGCGACAAATTCACCACAACGGGCGGAGGTGGGCGGGGCTTCAACCCCATTGTTCATCCCCTTTTTAACAATACCTCGCAATAACTTAACAGCTGTATCCAGAAAAGAATTTTATCCTCCAACAAAATAATTGCCCTATCACACTGCAAATATAATAAACCAGTGGCTCCAGAATAACAACATCAAAGCTGGGCCCTTACCATGGCTCAGCTACAGTCTAACTACACCCAAATATTGTGCATTTTACGCAATTTTTTGTATAAATATGCAAAATCCCTAGATATTTGTCTAAGTCTAGTAATTATTATTGTTTATTTTCTAGCTTCAGGTCTTCAACTCTTCATAGCCAAAGATGGTACAGCAGCACTAGGCAATCACGAAGTCAAATCGCAGATGTCTACGGGCGTGCAAGGATTTAAACAAGTAGTAATGGACAACAGGTAGCCAAAGTAACGACCTCCCGATTACTCGTGTACTATTGCTATTATAATAAATAATATTGTTGTTGGTTTCAACGTTCGTCGTTGAATTTGTATAATCAATCCATGTTGATATTATTGTTGATATATAAAAACATACTGTAGCATATGTTTATATGCGTAGATAGTAAGAAATGACGTTATTTTGGCATTTTACTTATTGTATATCGTAATTTTGTACTCGTACTACGAGAAAATTGCAATAAATATAGAAAAATGACAATTATGGTAAATGAAAAATCTGCAAGAAAAGTATCACTAACATTTATTATATGACTTTTTTGATTTTATGTTGATCACACGATGTTTCTCTCACTCTTCTTCAAATCCGCTTTGATCAGGATCAGGATTCAGACAGGGTGACACTATATCACCCAAACTATTCAATCAAGCTTTGGAAGACGTTATGAGGAAATTACAATGGGACAAAACATTCATTCCTCTTTTGCATCAGATTTTCAGTTGCTTCTTCATTATTCAAGAACGACATCATCTGCAAAGTGATAGTAGTGGGATGTTATAATTCAGAAATTTGAAATATATAAAACAAAGTATTAGGACTGGGCAAAATATGATACCTTGTGGTACTCTTGCCCTAAATTCATTTAATCGTGTGTAGATGTCTTAGATATCAATAACACGATACAACAAACATTTTCTGGTTATGATTCTTTCTAATAACGATTTGTTATTCCGATATGTTTTCTGATATTTTCTCTAATCCCAAATTGATGATTTAGCAAACGATCTTTCTTTTCTAATATTCTTTTTAACTTCTTTATTAGACTTTTTAACGACTTATTAAGCAGTGATTCTATTCAATAGATACTACATTTTAAGCCTTCCATAGTTCAATGAAAATGATTATTTCTTTCTAAAAATGTTAGTGGTATAATTCTTGCTGGAGTTTATGATACCTTTGATAAATTTAAGGTAATATAACTATGAAAATGGCACATTTTCAGCAATATATGGCGATTCAACTTCTTTTATATTATTATAAAAGATTATAAAAAAAAATGCTGTTAAAAATTATTGCTCCATGGTGGACAGTTAATCTCTGGAATGGCAAATCTGAAATATAAAATTTAAGATGGGTTTTAAAAAAGAGTGCCTTACGTAATAATTTACCAAAAACATTGAAAATTCTTAAAACAAAAAACAAAATGGCGGACATTTGAAAAAATTATTCAAAAATTGACATTTTTCGACTTTTTCCGGTAAAAAAAATTTATTTTTGGTCAAATTGTAATAAACCATCATAAAGAAAATAAAAACAAACAAAATGAATCAAGTTTTATGTAAATCGATAACTAGATCCGGAGTTTAAAGATAAACTATGTTTCTAAAACTGGCGGACAATTAATCTCCGGATTTAGTCAGTCGATTTTAATAAATCTTGATGCATGTTGTTTGTCTTAGGTTTCTCTGTGATAGTTTACCACAATTTGATCTAAAATAATCTAAAATAAAATTTTTGTTACTGAAAAAAGTCGAAAAAATGATGATTTTTGAACAATTTTTCTCAATTGTCGCCATTTTGTTTTTTTTTAGGATTTTCAATTTTTTTGGTAAACTGTCACGTAAGTGCACACCTTTTTTAAAATCCTTCTCAAATTTTGTGTTCTAGATTTGCCGTTAAAGAGATTAATTGTCTGCCATAGAAACAAATTTTTGGCGCCAATGTTTGTATAATAATATATAAAAAGAGTTTGATTGTCATATATACTAGATAAGATAAAAACATTGTTGAAAATTTGTCTTTTTTTAGACGGTAATAGTCCCTTAAATGTTTTTCTTTTGTTGCAAACATAAATATTATAATACTTTTACTTATTGACTATATCAAAATGCCGTAAGCTAAAAAATCTTATTTTAGAACCAATTCTAGACTATAAATGTCGAAATAACGTCTACAATTAGCATGAGAGTATTATTTATTGAGATTGTACATTATATAGAAATTTAAGCATACAGATTGGAGTGTATACAATTTTTTACTGCGTTGTATAGTTATTGAAGAAATCGAGTTGTTCTTATCGATATCAATAAATTTAGTTGTTATTAATATTGGTTTTTGTAATGACAATATTGCAAATTAAACTGTTAATACATCACAATGTGTTATGTGGAAGGTTTGCTCATATCAGTTGTGAGGAAAATAAAGAAAAATTAATAATTATCAGTTCAAATTGTTTTAATGTTTGTTATATACTGGACAAGAAGATTTTTTATCGACGAGGCTAAAAGATATCGTGAGTACAAGTCATGGTGTATGATATTATGCACACACACTCTATACCGCGAGTTACCTGTACCTGAAAGGATGATGCTTTTCCCCATCGTCAACAAATTTTTGCCACACACAGGTTGTCTATAATAAAAATAGTCAAAATCGAATACTTCGCTCATATCATGAGAAACAGCTAAATGTATGGATTGCTGTAATTAATTCTACAAGGAAAAGTAGAAGGAAGACGAGGACCAGAAAGACAAATGCAGTTATTAACCAGTTGTTTCATAGTCACAGCAATATTATCTGGATAAAAAGTATGATAGCTTTAATTTACACAAAAAAAATCAAAGAAATGACAGGTTCTAGAAAGCGTACAAGAACGAATATCCTTAAAAATGATAAAGGGGATGTTATTACTGATATGAAGGAGAGATTATGTTACTGGACCAATTACATCCAACAACTATTTAATGATGAACGAGAAGAACTGTCATTAGAAATCACCGAGGATACCGGACCACCAATATTAAGAGAAGTCATCTATGCCATCAAAAACACAAAAGAGGGTAAAGATACTGGACCAGATGATGTGCCATCGAATTATTAAAACTTATTCATGAATATGTCATTGATGAAATGGTTGAACTCTTTAATCTAATATATCAGACAATGGCTGCAATCGACCTTTGTTGCAATTCCTAAAAAGCCAAGTGCAACAACTTGCTCAGATCACAGAATAATAGCTTTAATGAGTCATACACTTAAAACATTTTTGAAAATAATTAACAGCAGAATTGTTAAAAATCTTGACTATGAAATTAGTAACACACAATTTGGCATTAGAAATGGTATGAGTACAAAAGATGCTTTGTTCGGCTTGAATGTGCTGGCTCAGAGATGCATGGACATGAATCAGGACATGTACGTATGTTTTGTAGACTTTGAAAAGGCATTTCAAGGTTCAACATAAAAAGCTTGTAGATATATTAAAAAGCAAAAATATTGACAGTCGTGATATGAAAATTGTATCTACTTTATATTGGAATCAAACTGCCAAGGTAAGAGTTGACAGCCAGTACACCCAAAATATCAAAATACAGAGAGGGGTGCGCTAGGGTTGTGTGATCTCCCCACTACTTTTCAATGTACAGTGAAGCGGTATTTCAAAAAGCGCTCTCAAAATCAATAGAAGGTATATCTATCAATGGAGAAGTTTTGAATAACTTACGTTTTCAAAAGACTGATATGTTTTTTGTACACACTTATAACAAGTCAAAGGAAAAGGCAAAAAAGTATTTTTGAAGTGTGTATATTTTTTAATAATTCCTAGCTGAGCGCTTTCGTCTTTACAAAGCCATCATCGGAGCTAGCTACAATAAAATGTTTTTATAAGTAACTAATTGGTGAAGATTTTAATTTTATACTTACGTCAATTTATAAATACCACTACAATGGAGAGATCTCATTTCCTTATTTGTTGAAATTTTGATAGTTTTAATTACTTAGTTGTTAAAAATTCTTAAAAAACATACAAAAAACCGGCACTGGACTTCACAGACACATTAAAAATTTTTTGTCATGGTACGGGTGTAAGAACCCGACCATTGTTTGCTATGAGGAGGTAGACAGAATAGAACTAATGAAATCAAATTTTTATGCAAAATCTTTAAAAAAAAATGTTATGCAAATTTCTTACAAATTTCCATCAAGAGATACAATGCTCAATACACTTAAATATCAGATCATGTAACATTAATACCATGTTTCCTCTTTATATTATTATTGAACGATTTGAACCCTTGTTTCTTAGGGATGACTGTCAGATTGAACATACATTGACCTTGATCAATGACTTGAGTCAATTTACAAACTAATATCATTCTGTATGATGTGATGAACACATAAGATTTAATTTAAACGCTTAAAAACTTAATTTTTAGAAAGTCTTTGATGACTATTAGTAATTCCAAACTATTAAATAATTTTGTAAGAATTTAAAACAATCTCTATTTCCTATACATGACATTTGTCAACTGTCACTTTTGAAAAATCGTTTAAAAGGGACCGACATTTGACTTTATTAGTTTTATTCTGTCTACCTCCTCATAGCAAACAATGGTCGGGTTCTTACACCCGTACCACAGAATAATAAACAATCAGAAGGGCCACTCTCAGATGCCGCCTTTGAAGTTTTTCAGCACGCGCGCCATGTTTTAGGAGGACACAAACATATGATTTGTGAGGTTATGCAATTGTTTACATTTATGTTTAATTATATTATATTTATGTTATTATAACTGTTTAATACTGTTAAAAAAAGTTTAATACAGTTTAAGACTGTTAATATAATTGTATAGTATGTCTATGATTGCCGTAAGTCAAACCTGTTTTTTTTCCATGCACACCACATAAACAACACTGGTTCCCTTTAAAATCCTCGTAAAACATGGCGGAACGTCTCTGCGCGAAGGAGATGCGCGTACTTAATTTTCCGTGGAGAGTGGGCATTCTGTTTGTTTATTATTCTGTGCCCGTACCATGACCAAATTTTTTTAATGTGTTTGTGAAGTCCAGTGTCGGTTTTTTGTATGTTTTTTTAAGAATTTTTAACAACTAAGTAATTAAAAAAATCAAAATTTCAACAAATAAGGAAATGAGATCTCTCCATTGTAGTTGTATTTATAAATTGACGTAAGTATAAAATTAAAATCTTCACCAATTAGTTACTTATAAAAAACATTTTATTGTAGCATAGCTCCGATGATGGCTTTGTAAAGCCGAAAGCGCTCAGCTAGGAATTATTAAAAAATATACACACTTCAAAAATACTTTTTTGCCTTTTCTTTTAACTTACGTTTTGCAGACGATACAGTAATAAAGACGGATAACAACAATGATTTACAGAACGTAGTACAACGCCTTAATGAACGCTGTCATGAGTACGGACTGAAGATAAATTTAAAGAAAACTAAATGCATGATCATGACTAAATCTGCACATGCAAATATTTAATTGACTATTGAAGATACTGTAATTGAGAGTGTTAAACACTATAAATACTTAGGAACATCGACAACATCAGATGAAGACCAAACCAAAGAAGTTAAGACACGTATTGAAATAGCACGTGCGTCATTCATTAAACTTGAAAAATTTCTTTGTTGTCGGGATATAAGGTTAGAAATACGCCTGAGAATGCTTCGATGTTACGTGTTCTCTACTCTTCTTTATGGCTTGGAAGCGTGGACACTAAAACAAGTCCGTCTGAATAAGTTAGCCGCCTTTGAATTTTGGTGTTACAGAAGAATCCTAACCATCCAACCTTCGGTAGAAGATGGAACTTAAAGAAGAAGAAGCAATCTTATATCGTCTGCTAATATCAGGTTTATAATATATATTTCCCTATTTTACCTATTTAAAATCCTATTTTAATCCTAATCCTATTTTAGCCCTAGTGGGTAATGAAGAGTTTTTGGGGTATTAACCCCTAAATATAAGATATTTTATAGACATGATCAGATAATCAAAAAGTGCTACCTAAAGATTAGTTATCGATTTGAGTGTCCTATCGACAAAAATCAAGATTGGTTGTAAAGTGTAGCTTTCTTACAAATTTTTGTATTTTACCGCCAATGAAATAAGTTTGCATAATGGTGTTAAATACATGAACGTGGCGCGAGTTTTTCCATTTTTTATGATTCTCATAAGATCAATACAATGTATCCCTTTCATTGACCAGCCATTATGTAGTTTTCATAACTAGAACCTAATCTTCAAAACCTATAGCTAGCATGAAATTTTAGTTACGAGTTGTGGCAACAAATGTGAGGCATTTGAAATATGCTTAAAAAACGATGAATATAACTGCTTTAACGTTTATAACTGCTCTTTTTTAATTACACTAGTACGTTTTTCAAAATTACTTAACTTCTGCTTTCAATTACGCCAAAAACCGTCTTCCTGGAGACATTTCCCGTGACGGGCGATCGCTTGTAGTGTGAAAGTTTAAATTCTAAAAGTTTTGAAGACTATATTCTATCTGGTAGAATTAATAAACGTTTTTCAGAACAGAGAATGGTAGTGTAACCATGGAGACGTTCTTCGGAACAGATAATGTACTGTAACCATATATCACGGTACTCAAAAGTTATCTTAACCCTTCATCCTATTTGTAGCCAACGATGTTATAATCTGTCTATCGAGAAACTGATACTCTTTAATCAATTAGATATTTTTCTTGCCTTTTCTCTTGCAGCCTTGCTGTCCGTGTTGATATTGTCGTTACAAGAACCAGAATGAAGCGAGCTAAAGATTGCAGTTGCATATATTACACGTTGCCAATTTTTGTGATATACTGTTACTAGTGGGAACTTACATCACACAAATTTTATGACTTTGTTCATAGGTATACTAATTGGTATGCAAAATAAAGATAGGCTGTTCACCTACGTTTTTTTAAAGTTAGGTTTTGGTTACAAAAACTTAATTAACTACTTATGCTTTTGAGATATGGTCAAAAAAAATTGTATGAGAAACTCTATATAGATAGAACACTTATGTATATTTTCCACGTCTATGAGGCAACATAAGTGTCATCGCTCCCAATATATATATATATAGGGAGAAAAATATTCTGTCTACATTGTATTTTATAAGTTTTTGTTTTTATGTGTGGGTACCTTTTCTTTTCAGTTTTCTTAAAAGCGGGGGTAAGAACTTTATAATCACTTTCATAGTTTTCCACTACATGTTTTTATTTCTGTCGAAGGTTTTGGTCTTTTTCATCTTCGTTTTTCGAAAAAAATTCACTCCAATTGAAAAAGTGTATCGAAAAATCCTTTTTGGGCATTCTTATACTCCAGTGAGAGATTTTATATAACTACTACTTTTACAATATAAACCTCAGACGATTTCATTGTGTT